CATCACAGCTTTACACAACGTTTTATCTGTATTTATTTAATCAGAAAATACAGTAATAACAGTAACATTGTGAAATATTTTTACAATGTAAAAATACCTGTTTTTTATTTCAATAGATTTCACATGTAATTTATTCTTGTAATGCAAAGCTAAATTTTATATGTTTACAGTTTTTCTGTATTTTTTACAAAATTATTCTGGCAACCACAGCTGCCAAAATTATTTTGTAAAAACTACAGAATTTTTTTTACAGTGTATGTATGACCCCAAATAGTGTATGTATTTTATACAACAACAGTGTACGTATTTTAAAACTTATAAATTACTAACAAATAATTACAATTCTGTGCATTATTTTCACAACAACTAAGCAGTGTCTTTCCTAATTGTCAATAGTGTGAAAAAATGTCTTGCTTTATACTATTGAAATATGAATGTTATTTTTATACATCATGGTAGGTAGTATTTGTTGTACTTTTAACTTGAGCTGATTTAAATAAAATCATTATACTGTATTAATGAGAATCATCAATGAAAATAATAAAAATAAAATTTTTTTTTTTTTTTTGGAAGCATTACGGGAATAAGAATTTGGAAATGCACTTTATCAACAAGAAAATACTGTCAAAACAATGGGGGGAAAATATCATGAACCTTTTCCCTTTTGATTTTGAGATCAATTGTGACCTGGACCTGGCTTTCTTGTCACAATTGCGAGATATAATGTCCAAAAGACATCAGAAATATAATAAATATTGCTGCTATTGCAAAAACGAAAACACAATGCGTGTTATATAATATGTGTGTAATATAAACACCAAAGAGGCAGCATGCTGTTCATTCCCAGACAAGCATTCAAGCTCTGTTCATCTATCTACATCAAATTTCCATCTGCAGTAATTGTTTCCATGGATCAGGGCAGCGTGGTCCTCTGATAGTCAGTCCTTTCCTGAACATATTTTCTTGAGATTGACCCATACATCAGTGATGTGTAGCTTTTTCTCTCTCCTCAGGGCTGATAGGCCTCTGCTAGCGGGCCTTTCTCATCTGAAGGCCTCTCACAGCACCCAATCAACCATCTGCCCTCTAATCAAAGCGCTGATGAAAAGATCCAGGACTCAGCTATGTCATCAAGACAATTAACGGCAATCCGTAATATGCATTTTTCTGTATTCTGCCACAGATCCAAGCCGCGGCGCATCACACAGGTCACGTAATGCTCGGCATGCCGCCTCAGGGATGCACCGTGAGATAATGGCATGAGCCTGGGTGAATAGCTCTGATGAGAGCCAACAATCTCGTACTAATTGCTAAATGTCTACTTTTGTACGGTAGATGTAATGGCAGGATGAGAGCAATTACAGAATAACAGAGTGCCTGGAAATAAAGCACAGCTATGTAAGTCTGTGTGACTTTTCCAGTTAGTTGTGATGTCTGGGTAAGGATTTTTACAATTATTTTACAGAGATCGCACTCACTAAGAGCCATTTCTCATCTGTGAAATATTTTAGAGCATACTGGTGGGTCACGACCCAAAAATGGATCACTAACAGCAAGACTAAAACAATGTTAAATGTGAATTATAAAACGCAACTAACCATTTAAATTGTATGCAGTTAGGAATAAATGAGCAAAATAATGGCATAAAAGCCTTTAAAAGAGAAGAGAAAAGGCTTACCATATCTTTAGTTTTTAATGGCAAAGGCTTGTGCATATAGTATGTTTTCACAAATTGATTTTAATTTGATTTATCGCTATGCTATTGAGTATTTATGTCTTTACATTAATTTATTAATTAATAATTTTTTAATATATTTATATTATTATAATAATTGTTTTTATTATAGTATAATTCTATTTAATATACATTTATATTGTATATTTAAATTATTAATATTTAAACTACTTAAAGGTGACCTATTATGTCCCTTTCTACAAGATGTAATATAAGTCTCAGGTGTCCCCAGAATGTGTCTGTGAAGATTCAGCTAAAAATACCCCACAGATCATTTATTATATCATTTTGAAAATGCCTATTTTGAGAGGAAGCAGAAACGCACTGTTTTCGTGCATGTATCTTTAAATGCAAATGAGCTGCTGCTCCCCGCCCCCTTTTCCAGAATAGGGCGTAGCCTTTACAGCTTGTACCTCAAATACTCTGCCAAATCTAAACCAATCTGTTTGGTTTTGATTATAATGTCGATCACGCTGAAATCATGCGTTTTAACGCCATATCAGTTTAAACTTCTGATACAGTGTTTTCTGAGCACACACATCCGAAGCACACGCACAGGAAGCGGCTGTCACACGGCAAGTGAGTACTACACTAAGTTCTCTTTCATGTCTTATTGTGCTTAAACTGTCAAATACACAAAAGTTTGTTAAAAACACATGAGTTACAAAAACAGTTATGTCTGTGAGGGTAAACAGCTGGGAAAGAAATCGCATTATATTAGATCTGTGTAGCAGCAGCGTAATATACAGTAAATAAATAAATCAATCCACTGTTCTCGTCTCCTCTGAGGCTGGGACTCTAAATAGTGTTCTGTGCTCGTCTGTGCAGCTAACGATAGAACAGTTAGCATGCTTTGCTCGAACTTTTGCCATGGCGCTAGAACTGCTACGCTTGCGAAAACACAATGGCGGCGCCGTGGGTGGAAATGTGCAGATTAAGGAGCGGTAATATTATAATGAGATCCCTTTGCCACGTCACAAAGGGAGCAAAATCTGACACGCTTGTTTTTTCAGATGCTTGAAGAAAAAGGCTTATCAAAACAAAGTTACTAGGTTAAACTTTTTCATGTTTCCTGAGTTGGTAGATGCACCAGGGATCCGATTATAGCACTTGAACAAGGGAAAAGTCGGATTTTCATGATGTCACCTTTAATCATTTACATTTATGAATTATTTTATTCATTGCCAAAAGCATTTTAAGACTAAAATACTAAAGACAAAATACTATAAGACTAACTTAGTAAGTTAAATAAAAATGTGGAAATGTAAAATATCTATTATAATTTAATTAATGAAAAAAAAATACAATTAGGCCTTATTATTTATAGATTACATAATTACTTATATAATGTGAAACCGTAATTTTAAGAAGCTACTAGAATACTTTTTGTAAAAAAAAAAAAAAAAAAAAAGGAATGACTCATTTGTGAAAAACGAAATTTGTAAGACTAGAAATGGTACGCAGTGGAGATAAAAAGAATCAAACTTAGTAATTTAAATTTTAAAAAAAAAATGAAAATATAAAATATCTGTGATAATTAATGAAAAAATACAATTCATAATTTATAGATTATATAAATATTATTTATATAATATATAAATAACATTTATTTTTCCATTACATTTAAACCCAATACAAAAAAAGGAATGACTTATTTGTGATGTAAGACCAGAAATGGTACGCAGTGGATGGTCTGTCCACTTTTGGGTCATTCGTCTGGGTGCCCACAGCCTCAGGTGCCCTTGTCAATTCATGCTCCAGATCTTCCAAGAATAACACGCATGCCCAGTCAAGCAGCACAAACAAGACAGACCTGACATATCATGGCTGACCTGATGTCAAATCCTCTCAGGAGTGTCTGTAGACAGGAAAATACATCATTAGCAACAAATGCAACCCTCTACATTGCGAGTAAATCACTCGCATATGCGACTAATCTTCACTCTGGGCGACTAAATGATGTCTAATATTAGCCACTGGCTAATAAATTCTCAGATTTTACTCGCCAGTGTGTGAGTTGGACGCTAAGTATAAGTTAAGCAGATATATTTTCATTCGCTGAACACACTGACTGAGTCAATTTACTAGCCAATGGCGATTCAATTGCCAAGGTGTCCGTAGAGGGTTGAAATGCATTCAATTTAGGCTTTAAACAGCGATGTCTCTGCTGGCACTACACCGCAAAAAGCATTAAAAACACATCAAAGATTTCAAAAAGGCTTCCCCTCTTCCAACACACTTGTGCTGCAATTGCCCCAAATCCCACTGTTCCACCAATCTCCACTAATAACCGGCCGATCGGCTCATGGGAAATCACGTGGACCCTAAAATTAACTCATCAGAAACACCACACTCCAATTTTAGTCTGTACGGGACTGCAATGCTCATCTTTAAATTGCACACATTCACTCATACAAAACTTCTGCTGCTCCGTAAAATTCAAAATTCAATTTTGACAAAATATTTGACAACACTTATTCTTCAAGATGTTGAAAAAACAGTGAGATGCTTTACAATGGCCAAAAATGTCCATCCGCATGCTAACATGGAGAAACAATCAAAAAAAAAAAACACTGAAGTGTGACACTGATTTTTATTATTTTTTCCATTATCATCAAATTTATTGTTAAAAAGGTGAATCTGTTACAAAAGCTGTGCTTTAAATGGCTGTCATGGTTTAAAAGAGGATGAACAGCAAAACCGATAGTTAGCATGGAAATCCGCATTAAAAATCCTGTCCTGAAGTTGCAATTCTTAATTTATCCCTTTTAAAAAGCACAAGCATAAAGACAGACAAATAAAATAAAATAAAATAATCACTAATTTATCTAGTTCTGAACTGGAGGGTCATAAGCAAAAAAATAGTTGCAAATTACTTCTGATATGATCATGGACAGCATGGGATTAGTAAACAATAAATACAATCACAAAACAAATATTTGTATAAGTTCTGTTGTGCCAAAATCAGTCTATGAAATCAAACTCTATAATATTTTTGTGCAAATATATTAAGAAATAAATATTTAACTAACAATAAACTAGCTAATTCGGGCAGATTCCAAACTAGGAAAAAAAACAATACTAAATATGGGTTTACATAAACATCACACACAGATGTTAAAGCATTAACAAAATTGAAAACTGCAATTTAGCCTGTGTTGTGTGATCTAATTTGTATACTTTTGAGTGCATGCATTGGAATACCATGGGAACAATACATTACATTTCAATATTGGGTTAAGGACATTTTTGCTTACTTGTGTGTAAAATCTGCATCTGACAAGTTAAATGGCGTATGACTAACCAACCATCCTGATCCATCTCTAATAAGAAAAGGCCACTCATCATCATCTCATACGGAACAAAAGACAATACAAATCCAACTGTTATATGCCATTAGCATGTCTGCCATCGGGGTGAAGGCAATATTCATTACTGAATGTGGAAGCTTATGAAGTCCTGAAGAGAAAGAACATGCATTATGAATGAGGAATCTCCAGCCTGATGGGATTCGGATCAGGAGTACCTGGAAATGTCCTGCCAGAGGCTGTAAAGACTTCTGAAAGCGTGCAACAGGATGGTGAGGGAACGGCTGGCATCCAGCTTCTTTATCGATGTGAAGATTTTAAACTCCAATCGAACTGCCAGTAAAAATGAATAGATCTTTAAATAATGCTCTGGAGGGTGGCGATGCAAAATCTGGAGAGCCATCCAGGAAAAAGAGAGACAGGCAGCCTTTCTCTTTCTTCTCATTTTATTTTGACAGATATAAAGGGAGACGAAACACTGGAAACGTCAGCGCTAATGTACTACTTTCACCCCTCGAGGAGCCTGAAAGCTTTTAAAAGAATCACTTTCCCAAGCGAGAAAAAGTAGCACAGCTGAAAACAAAGAGGCTCGTTCAGAGAGCTGACAGAGGTGAAACGTTGTACAATAAACCAGCACATTCCAGCTAATTACCAGATATTAGCCAAGTCTTACATGTGGGTACCTCTGACGTCAAATCTGTACCTTCCCAGACTCTCTTTTTCCTCCCAGCCTTTTGCATAACGCTGCTTTTGGCAGCCAGTTCAGGTCATGAGATAACAGGCAAAACAGGACCTGCTTCCCTCTCACTCACTACTCTCAAAACGGCACATATACACCAACAAAAGATGCATTTACAAAGACTTTTTGAATGCACCGCGGTCACAAAAACACATTTACACAAGAAACTAAATTGGGAAACATTGATTGCTCAGACACTGAAATGTGCAAATGCAAAAATAAAATGCACTCAAACCGGGTTTTGAGATATTAATCAGATATAGTAATCCGTCATAACTTCACCAATCTACAAATAGGGGTGGAGTGATATTTAACAACAATTTAGTGCATAACATTTAAAACAACAAAAGACCAAAAACAGCAAAATGAACATAACACAAAATAAGAAATATATGCATATGTAACTGTGATTCACTAAACACCAATTTGAGTTACACTCCTTGGAAACAACTTTTTCCTTGTCTTAACTTGTTTGGGACATGTCCTGTTCTGTATTTTTACACTACTCCCTGTTCTTTTAAGTTATTAATGTAAAACAGCCCTGCCTGACAGTCGAATAGATATATTTACAACAAAACAAACGATAAAGCAGAATTTCTACTGGTTAACATTTCTACAGTGACACAATATATACCACTATGTCAGACAAGTGTATAGTGAAAAAATTAAATACTTAGATTTTTTTCCACTATTCAAACCTGCTTTGTAAGCAAGATAAAAAAAAATGACATGCATAACAAAAATTGTAAAAAATTTGGAAAAAGTGTTTATGTGCAACCTATAAAAACGTTATCCTTTTTCACCATATGTTGGCATATCAGTACTGAAATGTGAGCAGTTTTTGATGAACAATTTATAAAAAAAAATATTATTTTTTTTTTAACGATTGCCTTTCATTTTCTTGAGTGAATGATCACTTTCTTACATGGACTACACACAATCAATAAACCAATCAATTTTTTGCACATTCCTCCATGTAAAACTATTATAATTGTGTGATACTGGAGGGGTTTCCTGCATACAGTTTGTCAGTAAATTGATTCGAATCCCCCAATTGTACAAACAGTTTTACGTTCATTGAAATAACATTTTTTAAAAAGGTTGGAAAAGGCTCTAAATCCCTTTTCAGTCTCATAAACTTCACCAACCTTCCTTCTGGGGGTCTCAGGCAGTTCTTTTGCTCGTGGCATATGGTAACAAGTACGGCGTGTTAGAACGAGCCGTTTTAGGGGGGCGTGGCAGAGTCTTAACTTTGATAAAGAATATCTCTTTGGTTTTGAGACTTTAGTCCTTGCAACTTCAGGGATCTTATCTATGCACAATCAGCTTGTAACACTCCAAAGAGAAAGGAAAACTTGAAATCCCATCATATGACCCCTTTAAGACCAAACTAGACAAGTTTATTATTCCTCTTTAATGATGTCCTACTAATTTGGATCTACTGACTGGTACGCCTAAGTTTAGACATAGTAGTGATAAACATTAGGGGTGCACTAATGTTTTCCTCACACAAGAAATGGCATTTCTATTAACTTAAGCTGTGAAAATCAAAACAAAGTGTAATTTGTTAAATAAGACTGCTATTGAAATGGCAATCCAGTATTTGCATGTATTTTTTTGTACGTACTTTACCATAACACAATTTATTAACCATCAGCTCATGTTCCTCCTTGTTTACCTTCACAGAAGCACATGTAACAAGTAGCTGCTTCAGTTTTCAGTGGACTGTGACGAAGCTTTTGCAAGAAGCCCGCCATAAGTCTGTTTGTTCTGCATTTCCACATTTGTGGCATTAAAAGGGTCCAGAAGGGTTTTTGGTTGAGCCTGCGATGAGCTCATGAAATCTGGATCCCATCTGACAACCAAAGCCCCTCCAGTTGCATCTAATCTGGCCAGAAGCAAACGTCTATGGCATGACAACAACGATCGCAGATGTGTATGGCTATGACCCCTTAGCAGCTGGACTAATGTTCAGAACGCTTGACCCAGGCCATCTCCTCTAGCAGCAGGAAGGATGAACCTTCACTCGTAACACCAACATGTTTGGCTTGTTTAACAGCCTGGCCGTTTCCTTTCCCAGCGCTATGGGCGAGCGTTAATGAAGTTTTGCTGTAGAACAACAAAAGCAATTCAGGATGGAGGGGTGACGCGGCCAGCCTGCCTCTTTCCAAAGCTCTTCCTACGCGCACCACTCAGCTCCATGGCAACTCGCAGCGAGAGGGCCAGTGTGTTACAATACAGGACTCTCACTTCCTGTCATAAAAGCCTCAGCGCTCTTTTTTTTTTTTTTCCATGATCCTTTGTGAAACAATAACAGGCCTGTTTTGGTTTCCACACATATCGCTCAGGGTCGTGTCTCATCTGAACCTCCACTGCGAGGAGGTGAGAAAACGACAGTGGAAAGATAACCTTTACTCCACAACGGTTAGAACCGAAAATGAGAAACTCGCTTTCGAAAGCTCGCAGCAGGCCTCAGAATCTAAAGAGGGTCTCCGAAGGCACTTTCACATGACTCGTGTCAACTCGCCCAATGCATTGGACTCTATGGAGCGAAGACACCGACTCAGTTTGTCACTGACCTTTCAAAACGCAGCCGATAATAATAGGACAATTCAAATTGTGCATTCAATGTGCAATGACAGGTCAAGGTCTGCAACTAAACAGGTTTATGATTGCCAATAATGAATCCTTTTTTTAAATGTATTTAAAAGAACTAGCAAACTGTATGTAGATTTCCTGAATGCCTCAATTTCCTTTTATTCATTTAGATTGACCTTAATATTTTCAAATCCAGGGTTGTGCAAAATTCAGATTTGAAGAACTGCCTCCAGTTATGAAATTCTGATAGCTTGTAATGCAAATCAATGAAATCTTTACAGTTCAGCAGAGTACTTTCAGAAAACGGATAGAAATATCAGTTGTCCCTCTCTATTTCCCAACGTCCTAGTAAGATGACATTTGATCATATTTGCTTCATTTTAGTATGATTTTTCTAAAAAATGATGTATAATCAAAGTAAATCAAGCTGCTTCAGTCCAGTAAGTGTTCATCTTAAATACATTAGCCTACTAACAATATAAAAGTTATTCTTAAAAAATAAACAAATAAATATAAATTAAAAATAAAAAGAAATGCAAAAAAGAAAAAAAAAGTAAAGATTTCACAACACTTGAACCATGACCTAAATTTGACATTCTTACAATTATACTAAAATGCCTTTTACTCACTAAAAAAAAGTGTGAACTATCAATCAGATGACAAAAGGCATGTAGTAGATTGTGGTGAAACTTGCGTAGCAAATACAATACAGGAGGCTTTATCAAACCTACATTCAAAGTTTGACAAAATTTGCTCGTCTAGTTAAAAAAAAAAAAATACAGTCACATGACTTAATTCATTTTAATTCTACTTCCTTAAATTTAAATTCAAACCACAATTCTGCAACTTGTTTGCTACCTCAATTCAAATTCAGGAATTTAATTTGAATTTAAAAAGCATTCTCAAATGGCGCACAACCAACATCATCCAGTGACTGGTCAGTATAGTTCTCCTGTAACTTAAATTGCAAACAATTGTATGTTGTGGCATTTTAAAGATCCCATATAATCGCTTGATGAGTGCAGAAAAATCACCTTTCTGAAAGTGGCGCCCTGATGAGGAATCATGTGAACGGATCTTAAGATTGAGCTGTCACTCAGAATCACATCTGTGCTCCAATCATTGCCTGGTTATCGCAGGACCTCTACACAGCATGTTTAAAATGTCATAAATCTGTTGGTTTATGACATTTAACATTTTATAAGCTTTTATAAGAGCCACAGACCACCTTGGTCTCTCCTTTTAAGCCCTTATCCTCACTACAATAAAGCAGACTTCAAAAGGACCCTCAAAGTGGCTATGAGGTAAATTAAGATTTATTTTATTTTTAAGAATTAAGAAATGTACATTAAATTGCCCACATATGGGAGTAATGTTTATACACAAGTGTGCTCACTTTTGGGAAATTATCTCAATTTTACTCAACTTCCTGAAAGTCAGCATCTGGAATATAATAATTACCAAGCATACAATGCTCATACTTAGGTTTAGTAGTTTGTTTGAATCATTAACCATAAGTATGAGCATTGGACATGCATCTCATTCCAAACGTTTAGAGCTACGAAAATATTGGGCCAGTAAGAAACCACCATAGAAACAGCCTAGTAACCACCCAAAAGCAGCCCAGCAAC